ATGACATCTCACACATTTTCAGTGCCTGTTTTTTAATCTTCTCTTGAGTTCTTTCTCTTACTTCACTAACGTCAGGCGAAATGTATAATCTATTGCCTCACTCTAAACCCCGCGCATGGTTTTATTTTGATGACAAATGCAACGATACTAAAATAAAGGAATATGTCGCTTGTTAACAAAATAAGACGCCATTGGATATTCAGCTGCACACACCGCGGTATCTTCGGCGTTTCAAGAGGGAACAAAATAATGCCGTCCTTAATATCATGCCGGGGGGGGGAGGGGTGGGTTCAATTTAAAAGTCTGGTTTCTTAGATTGTGAATTAAACCCTATCCTGTATATTTACAAACAAAAGATTTTAGTTATCAGAATCGGTTTCATATCCCCTTTTGAATGGTTTGAAATGCCATCACATTTATATACACTAAACTCATTTTAATTTGAGAAACAATAGCTTCATTATGTCGTCTGCTTGGGCAGTATTGGTCCGTTATGTGACGTCATTAAAACATCGTTATTTTTCTGGCGAATCTCTCGTATATCCCAGATGCTATGGAGTGGTTGTATTTGTATTTTTATATATCACCCGATATGTAGTTGACCTATAACTTGTACGATGGCCATCTGTTAGCTTACCAGTTTCTAGTGATACATTAGTTGACAGATTTTTGATTTTCTTTGAATTTCCACTTTAAAGACCATATCCGAACTGAAAAATGAAATGGATGAATTATATATCAACGGAAAGCTTATCAGCCATAGATTACAATGATATAAATTATATGCCATTTTAGTGTCTGTCAAAGGAGTATCAGCCATCTGAAAACTAAAAATCTAAATCTTTGAAAATCGGAAGTTGTCGACCTAAAAACTTGCTATCGCCTTGAGGAAATCATTTTAATATGTGGAGTACGCATATTTACAATGACTTTGCATTAATTAAGCACGGCTCATTGCTTCAGCTTATGTCGTCTCTGTAACTTCGGCAAATTTGACCCCTGTTGACCCATAATTTGGAGGGGTGCGGAAAATAAAATTTTAATTTGCTTTTGTACAATAATGAAAGGATAAATACTTTTTATTCATATATATATATATATATATATATATATATATATATATATATTTGTATTCTACATTCATTCAGTTTTACATATATATCAAGTTGTATTTTTTTCGGAAAAGGTCTTTAACTTTCATTCAGATATGTAAACAAACAAACAACTTTTAATTAGCAAACATCACTAATTTACTATTGTGCATTTTTGTGGAACTGACGCGTCATTTAGTGCCACTACGTTTGGTTAAGCTACCTTAGAATGTACAAAGTATACTACAGTACGATTAACAGGTCATTTACCTTCTCTTTGATTCGATGATAAAAGAATTAGATCATATTACTTTGGTTATGTCAAGTAAAATTTAAGTTTCATGCAAAGTGAATCCTGATCGGTTATGGCAACATATCAATTAGTTCATGGATGTATTGTAGCTTGAACGATCAGGGTTAGGTTGTCAAAATGTCGACTTTTTTTGTAGCTTTCGTGTCAGACCTTTATGCCAAGTAGAGTGTAGTACTATGTAGTTGCATGGACATTTTAAGTGCCCTTAAACTTGTATTCATAAAGATACACTTAATTTCTTTCATTTGACATTTTAACTCTGTTCGCTTTCATTTTTCTATCCATTTTGATCCAGAATATTTTCATTCAAATATTTGTTGTACTTAAGTACTCTTGTATCAATGTCTACTTATATAGAACGGGCAGTATCTTCTGTGTGTACAAAATAAAGATAAATTCGAATTATGAGTGAAATGGTACATCATATTGAAAATTGTATGTTTTCTTCAGGGAAAAAAGAGGAGGATTAACTGGAGAGTATGTGAGAAGAGAGAGAGAGAGAGAGAGAGATTCAGAGACAGAGTTATACAGAAATGGGGAGAGAAAAGAAGGAGAGACAAATGATACAGACTATAGGAGACATAGAAAGATGAGAACAAATAAGAGAGCAGAGTTCCAGGAAAAGAGAGAGAGAGAGAGAGAAAGATAGAGAGTGGAGAGAGAATGAGGAGAGAAAGGGAGCCTAAGAGAGAGAGAGAGAGAGAGAGAGTAACACAGAGAGAGCGAGGGATGGGGTTGGGGATATATTACGCCGCAGATGCACAGAGAGAGAGAGAAAAGTTCGAAAAACGGAAACAAAAGTCTTTTATTCTTGATTGATTGATGATTTATTTCTATTCGACAAGCTTCCAACATACAACATTATACAAGAATAACAGGTCAAAAATAAAGTCAGCTTGAACAGGATAACCCACGAAAGCTCGAGAGCTTTCCAGTGGGGTCCCCTAAGGGCCCTACAGAGTCATGTACAATATTAATAAGTTAAAATAGTAATATTTACAGACAGGTAAGAGAAATAAAAATGATTACTTATTAAAGATAATAATAATAACAACATTAAACTGATGATAGAAATGATAATGAGTACAAGAAGAAAAAGGAGAAGGAGAAGAAGAAAAGAGGAGGAGGAAGAAGAGGAAAATAATGATGAAATTTGTAGAATTTCTATAACGTACAAAATCTATATAATGTATAAAAGTATATACAAAATGAAAAAGTATGGACCGGCAGAAGAATACAAATTTCAATCAAATAACATGTCATTCACTTCTCTTCTCTAACTCTCAAGTATTAGGTATTCATTTAATTTCCTGTTAAAATGAGCATAGTTTTCTATTTCCTTTACACCATTGGGAAGGGAATTCCAATAGTTTATGGCATTGTAATAAAACGAATTTCCAATACTACCTACTCTTTCTGGTAAGTTAAAAATTGAATCGGCTATTTCTTGTATTATAATCATGTACATCAGTAACAACATCGAAGTTGGATCGAATATAATGATTCGACCTAGTATGATATATTTTATGCACGTGATGCAATACGAGTTGTTTTTATCTTTGGTCGACTTCAAGAAAACCGTCTTTAGAAAGTTCGCTGTAGCCAACATGAGTTCTTGGACCAGATTACAGTTGATAAATGTCACCATTTTGTTCTGCATAATCTTCAACTTCTTTTGATCTGACTTGTTAATGTTACTATACCATGCAGGGTTATCATAATAAAACAAAAAAAACATTGAATAAGAGCAAAACAGAGTGTACGTCTTGCTTTTAAATACATACAACTTTGATATCTATACAAAAATTTCAGACGAAAATTTGCTCTTTGTTTTTTACAACTGATTCTACTAAAGATGAAAATGAACTTGCGCTAGCCAACTCAAAGCCTAAATACGCCACAGACTCTTTTTCCTTGATTACTTTATTATTGTGTGTCACTTTGAATTCCAATGACTTTTTAGAACTACTTTTTAGAACAAAACAAAATGCTTTCTGTTTTTCCCAAGTGTAAAGAAAGCTTATTATCAGTCATCCAATCGACACACGTAGACAGCTGTTCACTGAACTTTTCCTCACTATATTTATTATCTGCGTACAATAATAGTTTTAAGTCTTTTAAAGAGATACACATATCATTTATATAACTTGAAATAGAATTGGGCCTAAAATGCTTCCCTGAGGAACAGCGGCATTTAAAAGGCATTAGTTTGGAACGAATATCATGAATGGCCACTACTTGCATGGTGTCGATTAGATAGGATCTGAACCACTCTAAACTTGCCTTATTAAAACCCATTAGTTGTAACTTCTTCAATAAGACGCAATGATTAACAGTATCAAAAGCTGTGTGCATAGTCAAGGAGCACCATACCAACAAAGCGCCCTTTGGAAGTTTCTGTCCTCAAATAATAAGTCAATTGAATTAGACATGTTTCAGTCGAATAATCATGTCGAAAACCAGATTGAAATTCATAAATTATATCATTTTCTTTGAAGCATCTTTCAATTTGAACACAGACCGATTTTTCGAGAATCCTCTATCTTGGTCATGGCGATTGAAAAATTGTGTTACAACCTGCATTCTCCCGTCTAACACATCCAATCATGAAAAACTAGGTAAAAGTAATTAAAAACAAGTCATCAAATCAAATAGAAATCAAAGTAGGCCTATTTCTCTAAATCTCTATACCACACAGAATACTTGAATATTCAAAGTACAATTTGCATAATCATAAGGATGAGAGAGAGGGAGGGAGGAACAATAACGATAAAGAAAAGACAAAAATAATATGACCATATAATTTTAGGCCTACTTATGTGCATGTAGGAATTGTGTTTATTCATTTATTGCTGACGAAATATTATTTATGCCAAGCACTTTCAGGGGTATTTAGATATTGTTTTATTATTGGGAACATTTTTGTTAATTAAGGGGAATTTAGCCTCTTTCTTATGTTCCATTTGCAGGCCAAAAAATGAAAAGGTTAAATTCCAACGGCATTTGAAAGATAACACTAATTTAGAACTTCTCCCAGTAAAAAAAAATTGAAAAAGAGGGCTTGAAAATGTCTTTAAGTGAGAAAATAACGACTATCAATTGTCAAATCGACTTACGTGCCGGGCTTATAAGTGCTACTAACTAAGTCAGTCTGATTTGGCAGACCATTGTACCGAATGGTCGTACGTTTTGTGCTGCACAAAGATTCAATCAGTTTAATTTTGGCCATTACAAGAAGTAGGTTATTGATGTAGACAAATGCTCATGTACCCTTTGCAGCTAATTTTATGTATGTAATTACCAAAGAAGAAAAAAAGCCAGTCTAGTCTCTCTAGTGTCTGACAGTGAGCAAGTAAACCGGTTTCCTTGCATAACTTGAATAGTAGGACACTGCTAACGTTTAAATTTCACAGAGGACATACATTACATATTCATAATTCCTGCAAAGTTCTACAGAATTTGATGTTGGCTGCAAAAGGGACATAGTCCAACTCCAACGTCATCTCTAAAACAGTTGTTACGTAATATTCATGAGTGACTGGAAATTTCTTTATACTTCTAGAAAGACCTAAGTATTTAAGATACATAACCCATTGTTGTATTGTGTACAGTTTGTCAGTGCTCATTTCAAACGCTTAAAAGGGATACCAGTCTCAATGCATTTCTGTAAACAACGGACAACAACGGACCGGAAAGACGCATTACACATACTGAAACCGTAAGTTGACTGCATTCCTTAGATATCTGTTCTTAGTATTTAGGTTTTATCAATGTTTTAATTTAGGGATTAAGTTTTAATTGTCGATAATAAGTTGCAGGAATTTTCCTGTGGAATAAAGTAGGACACATAAAGGGCATTTCTTTTGTATTCCTTTCGTACTACAGTCCCATACATAGCATATTACTGCAGGGAATCCAAGGTGAGTGAGAACCATTGCACGTAGTAGTGGTGGTGGCAGAACGTTAGCTTACATTAAGCACAATAGATCTATAGCCTATAGGTGCATTACTATCCTGGCTGTGTATTAAAAGCTGTGCTATTGATTCTCAACATTTTAAACACCACTGTACTAGTAAGGTGTCTGATCGCGCACCCGATGTTGTGTGCTAAAATTCTTCCCATAGAGATTACACGCATCCCTATGCAGCCTACGTGCATTGCGCGACCATGCAAAAAAAGTCAATTTTTTTTTTCAAATTGAGATTCAAACCTTTATCAGTTGTGATCCTGAAGGTGATAATCAATGAATGAGGTGTCATATGAAAGAGCAGGTGAATTCCAATATTTCCAAAGGGGCGTAGCCCCCGAAATTCTAAAAATATCTTGGTCAAAACAGCAATTTAAACATTGTGTCCTGGCTAACTCTGAGGTTTGTCACTTTTGAGATATGACGCCCCGATCGATAAGTAGTCCCAGTCCTAAGGAACAATTCTATGTGATTATATTTTCGCTAGCCCCCAGGGATCACAACTGATAACAGTTTAAAAATACCCTTCTCGCTATTTGGTGGATCAGCTAATTAGGGGGCGTGCGCTCCGCTCAGTCCAAACCATGGTTACATCGCGTAACATCTCCGCGCACGAACGAAACCCCAAATTCAAGTGACTGAAATTATGGTTGGAAATTCCCTCGATAAACCCGGAAGTGAATACACGTTATAGTCAATGGCAATATCGCGGAGACAAACGTGCGTTGTCTCCGCGATATTGCCATTGACTATAACGTGCATTCACTTCCGGGTTTATTGTGCGACGAACGCCAACCATACTAGTCAATCGCACATGTCGCGGAGACAGCGTAGCTCAAGCTGCAAGTCGCGGATTGGCTTAGCAGCATGCGTACGATATGCATACGCTTGCATATCGCGCGATACAGCTGTTTGGCTAAATTTAGCAAAACAACATCACTCTGCGTGGACGTCTTTTTCGACGATTTTGACCAAAATGATATGAATATACCAGCGTGTTGGAGGGGCTGTAACTTTTGATAGAAACATCGGTGAGACTTGAAATTTGAAATGTATTATTCTGATAACATTTTTTATTCAAATATCAAACAAAAATGGTGAAAAACGATCCCAAATTGAAAATTGAAAAATCGTTCAGACACCCTAGTACTAGGGTGTCTGATCGCGCACCCGATGTTGTGTGCTAAAATTCTTCCCATAGAGATTACACGCATCCCTATGCAGTCTAGACCTACGTGCATTGCGCGACCTAGACCGAAAGCTTCAGTCTCTATAATCGTCGGTTGTTCCACTGAGACTACGTCTGGCTCCACTAGACCTCCGGTTATAGAGACTGAACGACTGCCTATGCCAGCCTGTGTTGAACTTATTCCGCTAGATTTTAGCCGCTAGGCCCCTCCCACAAACTTGCCACGGCCGTATTGTTATGCCCCCAAAATCCCCCAAAATGTCATTTTACCTCGTTCATTTCCAATTTTAAATTAGGCCTAGGCTATAATACATCGGTTCCACTTACTAACTTCATTGATATAATCCGTTTAATGGTCCCTTTTAAGGAAATTATCGGTCAAAATCGACATCCATGTTGAAAATCTTGCAAGCCGTGTTTAACTCTCGCTGCCGTCAATCTCATCCCTTCTAGTCTACGCCGAAGGCAAAATGATTATGAAGGAAAAACTGTGCGCCATCTACACGTTCGTAATGGCGTTATCACAGTTTTTCCTTCATAATCATTTTGCCTTCGGCGTAGACTAGAAAGGATGAGATTGACGGCAGCGAGAGTTTAACACGGCTTGCAAGATTTTCAACATGGATGTCGATTTTGACCGATAATTTCCTTAAAAGGGACCATTAAACGGATTATATCAATGAAGTTAGTAAGTGGAACCGATGTATTATAGCCTAGGCCTAATTTAAAATTGTAAATGAACGAGGTAAAATGACATTTTGGGGGGATTTTGGGGGCATAACAATACGGCCGTGGCAAGTTTGTGGGAGGGGCCTAGCGGCTAAAATCTAGCGGAATAAGTTCAACATAGGCTGGCATAGGCGATCGTTCTGTCTCTATAACCGGAGGTCTAGTGGAGCCAGACGTAGTCTCAGTGGAACAACCGACGATTATAGAGACTGAAGCTTTCGGTCTATGCGCGACCATGCAAAAAAAGTCAATTTTTTTTTTTCAATTCGAGATTCAAACCTTTATCTGTTGTGATCCTGAAGGTGATAATCAATAAATGAGGTGTTATCTGTTGTGATCCTGAAGGTGATAATCAATAAATGAGGTGTCATATGAAAGAGCAGGTGAATTCCAATATTTCCAAAGGGGCATAGCCCCCGAAATTCTAAAAATATCTTGGTCAAAACAGCAATTTAAACATTGTGTCCTGGCTAACTCTGAGGTTTGTCACTTTTGAGATATGACGCCCCGATCGATAAGTAGTCCCAGTCCTAAGGACAAATTCTATGTGCTTATATTTTCGCTAGCCCCCAGGGATCACAACTGATGACAGTTTAAAAATACCCTTCTCGCTATTTGGTGGATCAGCTAATTAGGGGGCGTGCGCTCCGCTCAGTCCAAACCATGGTTATATCGCGTAACATCTCCGCGCACGAACGAAACCCCAAATTCAATTGCACATTATAGTGAATGAAATTATGGTTGGCAATTCGCGCGATAAACCCGGAAGTGAATACACGTTATGGTCAATGGGAATATCGCGGAGACAACGTGCGTTGTCTCCGCGAGATTGCCATTGACTACAACGTGTATTCACTTCCGGGTTCTACGGCGCGAATTGCCAACCATACTAGTCAAAGGCACATATCGCGGAGACAGCGTGGCTCAAGCTGCAAGTCGCGCATTGGCTTAGCAACATGCGTACTATATGCATACGCTTGCATATCGCGCGATACAGCTGTTTGTCTGAATTTAGCAAAACAACATCACTCTGCGTGGACGTCTTTTTCGTCGATTTTGACCAAAATGATATGAATATACCAGCGTTTTGGAGGGGCTGTAACTTTTGATAGAAACATCGGTGAGACTTGAAATTTGAAATGTATTATTCTGATAACATTTTTTATTCAAATATCAAACAAAAATGATGAAAAACGATCCCAAATTGAAAATTGAAAAATCGTTCAGACACCCTAACTGTACAAAACTCAACTGATTTCACTCAAAATCGGTACTTTCAGAGCTACCAAGTATCACGCATTAGGCGTGACATCACGCATTTCGAGGGTCTGAAAATGCTCTTACGCACGACACGCGCGCTAGATTTTGAAAAAACGCTATACCTTATATGTGTGTTATACCCTCCCCCGTCGAATCATGAAAATGTCACGCATTGCCCATCTTTGAACTTGGCGTCTCTGTACTTAAGTGACGATTGATGACTATAGCAGTAAAATACAATTTTTTCAACTTTCCGATGTTACAAAGAATAATTTTAAAATTCAAATTGTGAGTCCACTGTCAAACTTGCTGAATATGCCCAAGGTTGCATCGGCGTCAGAGCTTCCTGGAGTTACAGGTAGTGCAGTGCTAGATGTCAATACGCATTAGCATTGACTCTATTGCTTTGCTGGAGTTACATTTAGCGCTAGACCGAATTTTCCGTCTCTTTCGTTCGTTAGCCTCTTATTGGGGTAGGGTCGGCTCTCTCTTTAGAGACGGAAACCGTTTATACACATTCCCTTGATAACGCCACGGCCATTTCAGGCCATATTGTTATGCCCCCAAAATGTCATTTTACCTCGTGCATATCCAATTGTAAATTAGGCCTAGGCTATAATACATCGGTTCCCCTTACTAACTTGACTGAAATAATCCGTTTAATGGTCCCTTTTAAGGAAATTATGGGTCAAAATCGACATCCATGTTGAAAATCTTGCAAGCCGTGTTAAACTCTCGCTGCGCATGGAGTCATCTAAATCAATCTCATCCCTTCTAGTCTACGCCGAAGATAAAATGATTATGAAGGAAAAACTGTGCGCCATCTACACGTTCGTAATGGCGTTATCACAGTCTCAACTCAAATCAACTCTTGCCTCAACTCTTACTCAGTCAACCTATAAAATAGGTTGGACTATTGCTGGAAGATTTCCTTTCTTTGTGTTTGGACTTTGGGTTTTGTTATAATTTTTTATAGTTATAGTTTTTAATTTTACTTTTGTTTCTGTTTGGCCCTTTTGGGGGATATGTTTTTGTCTCGCCTGTGTAGCAAAAGTTGAGACTCGACTTTGAAATGAAGATTTTCCTTAGGCTTAGCCTTTAATTAGGCTAGTTAGTTAGGCTAGCAATAGTTCTCACACACCTTGGATCCCTACAGTAATAGGCTATGTATTCGCCTGCGTAGCAAAAAGCAAGATACTGTATGCGTCGCTTTTCCAGGGACGACGGAAAGTCAAGGTCAAAGGTCATTACTGGTCAACAAACTTAGACTATGTTGAGGCATCATCTCAGGTTAAGTGTTTGAATTTTTAATATAATTTTGAAAGTATAAGTTCTTATTCAATGAAATTTAGACTAAAGAGTTACTAAGTTTCCCCAATCATGTGAGTAGAATTTTAGGTTGCAAAGTCAAAGGTCATTTCAGATCAACAAACTTTGACTATGTTGTGGCATCGACATCAAGATTTTGAATTTTTAGCATAATTTCAAAAGTGTTTGTTCAAATTCCATGAAACTTGTACCCAAGGGTTATCAAGTATCACAAATCATATGACACAAATTCCAGGTCACAAAGTCAAGGTCAAAGGTCATTTTAGGTCTCGACGTTTTCACAACTATGAGAATTAATGAATCAATTTTTGTTAATTGTTCATATTTCATGAAAGTTATCAATCTTGGTACAAATAATAGAAAATAATTCTTCTGATGATTCTTAGTCAATATTCACTATTTCCAGAGGATTTCATTTTGGGGCCACCCTGCCTATAAATAATGTCCCAACCTCAATTTAATTTAATGTAATGCAGGTGAGACTTCCAAGAGCGTTTCCCTTGTTTTTTGGTCTAGACAAGAAACTGACATGTAATTTAATCATCTCATCATTAAACTTTTTGTGTATTCTCTCCATTTGGTCTAAATGTCTCGCTGTCTTCCCTCGACCCTCCGGCTCCAGTACTGCTGTGATTTAGCATGTATGCCAATAGAATACAGAGAAATATGGAAATGTTTAAGGCTTGTTCAAATGAAACACGGTAAACCGTCACAATAAAGCCACTTTCTTTTTTTTACATGTAAAACAAATGACAATTGAGCTCTGTATTAGGCCATTTAAAAAATACACATGTTTAGCGTCCCCGCCCGCTTCCTTTTTGGGGGCCGCCTCCTATTTTTTTTTTTTTTAGTTTTTAATTTTTTTTTTTAAGAAAAAAAACATGAAAAACACTGCTAAAATGGATCTATTTCTGATTTAATTTTTTTTTTTTTTAAATGTCGGCGGCCATCTTGAACAATAGCCTGACTGTCAGGGAAAATGTACCGAGCGGCCATTTTGAGCGGCCATTTTGAAAGAAAGAAAAAAAAAAAAGAGCCTCCTTCCTATTTTTCAAAAAAACAGGACGCTAAACATGTTTTTTGTTTTATTTTGCCTTATAACATTCAGAAATTTGAAGCGTATTATACTGCATGTCACTAGAAAAACGCTGCGGTCATTTCTGAACGAGCCTTTACTCTACATGAAGGTATTTTACCATTTTCAATTAAACATTCAAACATTAAATCATAAAATGTATTTGTACGAAACCAATGACACTGGATTTGGACTGAGCTTCAGAAAGAAAAATATCAATGCCAATCCAGTTCACCCTCGGTATAGCTCGGTTTGGAAGGAAAGGCATATGCATATTTTTGTGTTTTCATTTTTTATTTGGTATAGTTCTGTATGTAAATTCTTCTTTAAAACTAAGATTGATCTCTGCTGAATTGATAAAAAAAATATCTCCCTTTTCCATCCTACTTTTTTCTTCTTTTGTTTTCTTTTTCATTTTCTTATTCTTATTGTTGTATTTTCTTCATCTCCTCCTCCTCCTCCTCCTCCTCCTCCTCCTCCTCCTCCTCCTCCTCCTCCTCCTCCTCCTCCTCCTCCTCCTCCTCCTCCTCCTCCTAATTTCAGGTCTAAACAGACAAAGAGGCCCACTTTTATAGAAAATACTACACTTCCATTAAAGTTACATAATCAAAGTTGAGAAGATGCCGTTGGAAGACCAACCAAACAGTGGCACTGGACCTTCCAGTTCGGACCAGGACCAGAGCTCGGACCCTGCACAGGCCCAAGCAGAAGAGGGGACCCAAGAGATGGAGATCCAGACTTCGGACTCGGATCCTCTGGAATCATCGGGAGAAGGGGAGATCCTGAGAAAGAGACAAAGACAGCAATCGCCGGCGCCTGGTTCTTCCACATCCACAGGAGGGCCGCATGGAAGTTTTGCTGGGATTGAAGGTAAAGCTTCTGCTTATGAGGTATAAAGGTGAAATACAGTAGTTTCATATAAAGGCCATCTGTACTAGTGTAAAGGAGGGATTAGACCACCCTGCAAGGTCATTGGACAGGTGGTTATCTCATCAACTCAGCTCTCAAATAACATAAGAAAAAGAGGATCATGGGGGACCAATGGTCACCGATAAGGCATTGTTTGTTATATAGAGGGCGCTACAAGTAGTGCAGTAGGGCTTTAACATTTTCTGTAAAAGAACGATGATAGTATTTGTGAGTGAGTGAAAGCCAATACTTAGCATTTTGAGTGAAAAATTTGAAAATTAGTCAAAACTGTATCATCATCATCATCAAGTGCCAGGGGAGTGTTTCACAAAGACTAAGATTGACTTTAAGTTGGACATAACTATGGCAAGTCGTTCATGCCACTAGTTTCTCTTACCATTCCTGGCATTGGTTTCTCGAGGTACGTGCAAATCTTGGTCACAAATCTACAGAATTTATCTTTTTTGAGAGTTCATTATTGAAGGAAAAAATATTATTTAAAGGTAGGCTTTACTACTTCAGCCAGAAGGGATTAGACCACACAGCGAGCCATCGAGGTCACTGTGACAGGTGGCTATCTCATTAACTCAGCTCTCATTTAACATAAAAAAAGAGGATCATGGGGGACCAACAGGCACCGATTTGGGAAGTTTTCACTATAGAGGGAGCAAGTAGCTACAAGTAGGACAGTGTGCCTTTAAAGATAAAAAATGAGAGACCAATGGTGAGAGTAACCTGTGGCAAGAATGGCCTGCCTTAACAGTAACATTTCAATTGTTCTTTCTGGGACTCTTGCAGCCTCTCCTCATAAAAACAAGACTTTTGAAGAACTGATCACAGCTGCTGGTGTTGTCTCCAACATGGCCCTCGCCCATGAAATCGTAGTCGATGGGAACTTCAAATTGTCGCCTCGTGAAATGCCAGAGAATTCGTAAGTATCATAGATTGTTTGGTTTTCACAAACCCAAATGCCGTCTTGCTTTTAATACAACAACTGAATTGTACAGAAAGATAAGCATTAGATATATGATAAATTCAATGCATGCTGTCTTTGTATAGCACACAAGGTAACAGTGACCCATTCAGACATTTAGCCTTTTAAGGAAAGTCCTATTAAAACACTTTAATGGTATTTATTTCAAGGTTGGCCGTTATTACCGGCCTTTAATATCGGTAAATACCGTCCGGTAAATAAGATTGGCGTCCGGTAAATATATAAAAAACAGGAAATATGATTTGAATTCTCTATTTATTAATAATTTACTTGTTTTTAGCCTCAAGAACTGAAAATATTGTTCTGAAATAATTAACAGCACAACACTCATAGTAGAAACACACACTGCATGCATGTACACACATACATGTACAACACACATCGTTTTTGAAGCACATGGCATTTTGTTCATATGCTAATTAATAGGTATTCATGAATATGGTAGTTAGCAACTGACTTAATGAAGGACATCATATCTAGATTAGGTGTATATTTGGGATCTTTTTTCCTGTATTTTTTTCCAGCATTTCATAATAACAGACATAAACAAACACACAAACAAACACACACACACCCACCCACACACACAAATAGCACACACCAGAGCAACCATACTCACCGCCATGGTTATTATGTTCAAAATTGGACAATCCCAAAATATATTTCCTGGTAAAAAGTGGTAAATACCGCTTATTTCCCGGCGTCCGGGAAATAAGCCTCCGAAGCGGGAAATATGCCAACTCTGATTTATTTGAAAAAGAAAAACAATTGAATTATTACAATCATTTCATGTGACAATACAAAGTAAGAAAACAACTTCATTTTTACCATTACATAACTAAAGGAAAGAGAGTTAGAGGAAAGCGAATATGTATATGGACATGGTCAGCCAACCCCACGGATGAATATTTGCGTTGACCATTGCAAATTGCTTTAAAGATTCAAGTATATTTGGATCAATAGAGCTAATGGTATAGCAACGAGTACAGCAGCATAAGAAGGTAAAACTGATCTTTAAATTTATTTTTTTTGATGAGAAGATAATTTACACGATGAAAAAGTGCAATCATGATATCAGCTAGTAGTACGTTTGACTTCAAAGTCTCTTACATTTATATTAATGTATTCCATGGAGCGTTTCACCAAGATCCTCAGTTGGACTTAACATTTATAGAAAGCTGTTAGCATCTATAAAAATATTTTGTAAACTATATTTTAAAAGGCAAAGAATGTTGATTCAAAGCATTCATATTTTCTATTATCAAGGAGATTTCCTTTTCTTGATGTAGAATTTATAAATAGTCTAAAATACTTCAATTTTCGCTTTTGAATATATTTTATTTCAAGACTACAAATGGCTCTCCATAATTTTTAAGTCCAACTTAGAGTAAAGTTCAACTTAGGATCTTTGTGAAACACCCCCCTGGTACAATTTATTTTCAGAATTGAGAAGCAGGTGCATAAGGTTGTCCATCAGGCATTCTGGGATAGCCTGGGCGCCCAACTTTCCGACGACCCGCCATCGTATACGCATGCTGTCACCCTCATAGGAGAGATCAAAACGGTATGAGCACTTTTTTTTTTAGGAATTTTTTTTTTCAAATTCAAAATTCACATTTATTCGGCAAAAGATAAAAAACATCAAAATGAAATCATTATAAATGATTATGATTTGATTCTACGTATTCTTGAAACCTGGGGGGGGGGGAATGTTTCACAAAGATCCTAAGTAGAACTTAACACTAAGTTGGACTTAAAAATTATGGAGAGCCATTTGTAGTCTTCAAATGAAATATATCAAAAAGCAGAAATTCAAGTATTTTAGACTTTTTATAAATTCCACATCAAGAACATAAAATCTCCTTGATGATAGCAAATATGTATGATTTGAATCAACATTTTATGCCTTTCAAAATAACTTTTACAAAATATTTTCAAAGACGCTAACAGCTTTCCATAATTTTTAAGTCCAACTTAGAGATAAGTTCAACTTAGGATCTTTGTGAAACATCCCCTCTGCTTTTTAACAAATAGCTTGTATACAGTAAAATCGTTTTTCTGCTGTTACTACTTGTATTATTGCAAGGTCTAACGTCAAACTTAGAGGCTACTGGAATGGGCTTATTCCTCGTAACCAAGTTGCCAATTTGACCCTGTTTAAAGATAAACTTTAGTACTGGTAATGCGATTGCATTGTGAAAGAAAAGGTGTGGAAAGGATCAGAAACAGTTGATCATGTAGCATGTAAGTATTGGTGTGCACTGCAAGGTTCTGGAGTCATCAAAATCATAATAAATTTGACCGAGTCTTGGTAAAGTAACAAGCACATACACAGAAAGCTATGTATGGGACAACACGCATGGTGTCGGGGTTGGTACTACCTTGATTCCTTGTCTTTCTATGCTCATTACTCAGTCAGTATACATTTTCTTCCAAAATTGTTTGGCACATGTCATTTATTTGTAATCTTCAACATTCAGTGTAAGTTTCGTTTGATTCTGTGAGAAATAATTTTTTTTTTTTTACCAGTACTCAACCTTCTCTTTAATGTCATACTTTCTCTATACAGATTTTACTGTCACTGCTTCTTCCTCACAATGACAAGATCAAAACTCAAATTCTTACTACCGGTACTTGTATTATTGCAAGCTCTAAAGTCACACTTAGAGGCCACTTGAATGGGCTTATTCCTTGTAACCAAGTTGCCAGTTTAATGTCATACTTTCTCTCAACAGATTCTACTGTCACTGCTTCTTCCGCACAATGACAAGATCAAAACTCAAATTCTCGAGGTCATGGACCTCACCCTCATTCAGCAACAGGCTGACCACCAGGCCCTCGATGTCGGTAAGCTGACGGCCTTTGTAGTCCAGGTGATGTCCAAGCTCTGTGCTCCAGTCAGGGATGAAGAGATTGCCAAATTGGCCACCCTGACTGAACCGGTCGAGATCTTCAGGTGCTTTTTTGCTTCTATAGCATTTTTTAAATGTATCTTTACAAGAAACTTCTTTATCATGCATAATTTATTTCAAGACCTCGTCTCTCATACCGAAATGCAATCACTTTTTTTTCTTCAACAGCCTACCGGTATGTTATTGTTTCTTGTGCGCCTGGTGCATTCAATTGTCAAGCCTTATAGAGTACCGAAGCTGTGACGTCATAAAAATCTATTTTTAGAATTTCTCAATATTTTCTTCATATTCCGAAAGAACATCAAAAATAATGTCCAAATGTCGTAAACCAATTGAATATGTTAGGTATTGGCTGAGATATGACCATCTGAATAAATATACTCCCCATAGGAACTCAGTGTTATATGCTCTGGTTCCTAATGGTTAGGAGCCAGAGCATATAACACTGAGTTCCCATAGGACATATATTCATTCAGATGGTCATATCTCAGCCAATACTTAACATATTCAATTGGTTTTCGACATTTGGACATTATTTTTGATGTTCTTTCGGAATATGAAGAAAAAATTGAGAAATTCTAAAAATAGATTTTTGATGACGTCACACTTCACCACTCTATTGGCTTTTATGGATGCACCATTTCCCATTTGTACTTTGGTTTATTATACTTTCATATTTTCTCTAGTTATTATGTAAATTTACAGGTAATTTTGATATTGTTATCTGTTATCATATTCCATCTTTTATCTTTGTAAATATTGTCGTGATGATGGAAATAATTGTCAATTCAATTCAATTTAATTCACATTTGTTCACTGAAATAAGCCATAAGTTAAAGCCAAATTTTGGCAGGGCACACATTTACAGGGTTCAAAATGACTCGCCACCCCTCCTGTAAGAATATAGTTATTAAAGTCATGTTTAACACTACATCTGTATTTCAGATAAAGATCATTAGTTTACAACAAACATAAAATCATGTGAAATAAATTTAGGCCTCAAGACATATGAGTCATATACAAAATTGAACGTCTTTTATTTTTTCAATTTTGTAGAGGGGCCAAACTTAACTGGCCCATGTGCTTTTTGCTGCTCCCATTTTCCATCCTTAAGCATATATTATGATTCTGTGATATTTCTTTACTTTTGTTAAGACATATTTTGTACACATATTGTTACTGACGAAGTGTTGCAGCGGCGCACGAAACGTCGTGATCTTTTAGATCCCTTGTTGACCATACATTGCGTGACTAACAAATATCACTAGCGATATTATTTTCGATATTGTTTCTGTTGTTGGTGAAGAAATGAAGAAAAAAAAATTAATCATAAAAATGAAGCATGGAAAGCATAAAATGAACATATGAAGAGTTTAATTCCAAAAGGAGCTAAATCCACTTTCAATGAAAATTAAGTTATTGATATCAGAACATTGTTCACTTAAGTACCCGTCTTTCAACAAAAGTATTTACCTAAATTTTGGGAGCAATTAAGAAAAAATGCAGCTTCTAATATCACTTTTGCATAGATGCCTGTACACAATTTTTTTTTTCTCTGAAGTTACAAAAATGGATTTAGCTCCTTTTGGAATTAAACTCGTCATATGTACACAAAAATTAGTAACTGCAAAATGAATAGTACCTTCAACCTTGTTATGCCTTATACACCAGCTCGTAGTCTAAGATCATCACACCAGCATCTTCTTAAGATCCCCAAGACACGAGTAGCCTGTGGTGAACGGGCTTTTTCATCTGCAGCACCTTCTCTTTGGAACAATTTACCATTTAATTGGAGTATCATAACTTCCTTAGAGACCTTTAAATCCAAGCTGAAATCTTATCTTCTTTTTTTAATACTTGTACTTGGCACTATGACACACATCTAAACTCTCTCATTCTTTCTATTTTTCTCGTGCGCCTTGGAATAGATTTGTCTAGATAGACAGCGCTATATGAATGCCTATTGTTTTTATTATTATTATTATGTTGACTGTTATTTTCTCAGGGAGATCTTCCGAGTCCTGGACCTCATGAAGCTAGACATGGCAAACTTCACCATTCAGAGCCTACGACCTCACCTGCAACAGAAGTCCATCGAGTACGAGAGAAACAAGTTCCAGGAATTCCTCAAAACCCAACAAGGTCAGTTTCTGAAACGTTGAATGATATCCATCTACCGTATTTGATGGCGTAAAGGCCGCAGTATTTTCGGAAGAGAAAATATCAAAAAGTCTGGGTGCGGCCTTTGTGCAACAACTAAAAATTCTACGGTCAAAACAGGACATTTCAAGAATAACTCCACACATCTTACCAACAATTTTATGTTGCATTGTTGACATGAAGACGAAAATAAACTGCATAATTTATTTTTCTAACAAAATGTACCGGTAGATCTAGATCTAAGTCCGTACCATTGCATCGCCAAAAAGTAAAAGAAGGGACCGTTAGTTACGGAACTGCCGTGCATGCAACGCAACTGCACACCCTGCCGAAGTTGCAATTTTGTATTACACCGCACATCGTGGTAGGGGTATATGTACAGGTGTAGGATACCAAATCTGCCTGCGGTACAGTACTAGTTTAAAAATCTATGAAGATTTGCTAAATTACGATCATTTTTTAGGTAAACTTCCTGTAAATTTATAAAAATATTGATGAGTTTGGTATTTGTAGAAAAAATAGTGTTCTAAGAGAAAATTACTATTATTTTGTTTGGTCCGTTTGTTTGTTTTTTCCTTTGTTTTTGTTTTGTTTTTGTTTTTGTTCTTCCTCTACGAAATGTCTAAGGAAATAAGCTGGCATGTTTCACACAGTCTCTAGGTGCTAAAGAGTTAATATTATTATTACAATTATTATTATTACTAGCGTTCTTATCATTATCATCATCCTTATCACCTTCAGATGGCTTACAGTATACGAGTGAATGGTTAGAACAAGCGAGAGAGAATCTAGCAGATAAGGTCAAGAAACAACAGGCGCTGCAGCAACAACAAGCTCAACAACAAGCATCTTCATCTAGCGAAGGGGCCTGTGGCAATGGGCCAGTGCCAAGCTCCGTCATCTCACCGGCAGCCATTTTGAATCACGCTTATGTCGATCTGCTGAATGCTGACCCCAGGGAAGCCATGACCTTTCCAGAGGTGAAGATGAAATGGAATTTTGGCAGCGGCCATTTTTAATGGTTCTTGTGATTATTTGTGTGTGTTGTATACCACACATAGTGTGATATTATTTGAGTGAATACCTGCAATGGCAGCAATGAAACAAAACAGCAACAACAACAAATCTATACAGGGCTTCTCAGGAAAAACAGTTTTAAATCTGAGAGAGCTAGTGTCCTTGTTTAAAGGTATGTCCCATTTGCAGGCTAAACAAATGAAAAAGTAAATAAATGTATTAAGAATATATTTCTTGGCATTTTAGTGGTTGTTGTAATAATTCTTCCGTCTTGCACACTATTTTAAATTTGTTTGGTAAATTCCTGCAATAGCAAAAATAATTGAGATTTTTTTATATCTTTCAATCAATTATGATGATGTCATAATACCTGGGATTTATTTAGTGCAGTTAGTAGGATTAAACATAACTTCACATTTGTTTGAAAAATTAATTTGAAAAAGATATTTTAATGAAATTTGGTGAATATGGTCTTTAAATTCTTAGAAATAAATCAAGATTTGTATGCAATGATGCAATCAAAATTATATTTTGGCCTGGTTTTGAGCAAATGATATCCAACTTATTTGGTCTTGTTTATCCTGACTGGCTTGTTATTCAAGATAAACTTGAGTTCTGGTAAAAAAAAAAAAAAAAAATTCTCAAAGAAGCAAACAAAACTTACACTGAATTATCAAGATTACAAATAAATGTCATTTGCCAAACAAATTTGGTAGAATATACTGGCTGAGTAATGGGCATGTGTACAGTGCTTGTTACTTTACCAAGACTGGGCCAAATTTATTATGATTTTGATGACTCCTGAACCTTGAAGTACACACCAATACTTACATGCTACATGATCAAATTTATCTGATCCATTCCCCACCTTTTCTTTCACAATGCAATCGCATTACCAGAGCTCAACTTCATCTTTAAGAATAATAGTGGTGATTTATTTTTCATTTGTCTTTAGACCATCCTGATGGACCAGGGACGTTTCTATGAGCTAGGGTCACAGGTCAGGAAGCTTGTCCTGGTGGGCTCTGTCCTTCTGGTGACTTACACCAACACCGGTAACATGTTAGCAGGCATCCAGGGCTTCCCTAGTCAACTCAAACACAACCTCTTTGTCCTGTTAGACGGTGCAAGGTAATCTTCAGTTTATCAATTTTATTTGATCAGGGGGGTGTTTCACAAAGATATTGGTGGTAGTGGTAGTGGTTATTTTACCTGACTGCTAAGAAAGCATAAATGCTTGTTAGTAAGCAACTAGACGGCCAACGGATTTAGGTCCTCTCCGAGGGACCTGGTAATGAGGATTAATGCCTTACCAGAAGGCACTAGGGCATCGCCTTGGTTTTGATCCCGGGTCACCGGATTACGAGACCACTGCTTTACCAAATGAGCTATCGCGCCTCCATTGCCTCCATTCTAATTCGAGCTTAACTCTAAGTTGGACTTAAACATTATGGAGAACCATTTGTAGCCTTAGGATGAATTATATTCAAAAGCAAAAATTAAAGTATTTTAGACTGAGTTATCCGGATTATTCGTAGCCTGTCTGTCACCAGCCTGTCACCGACGTAAATTAAAAAACTAGATTTCTAAAATCTGGTTTATTCAAGATAGGTCTGGATTTTTTCCGTGTGATACCCTTCCCCCCCCTGTGATATACTGCCAACCATTACTATTTTGGAGAAATGGTTCCCATATTTTGGTCTTCAAAATTATGACTATACTCTGAAGTACGACTATACTCTACAAAGAGGACTGTACTCAATGGAAGAAGAAGAAGAAGACTCTTTTGAACTGTAGATATCCTCTCTGTTTCTGAAATATTCTGTGTGAAAGGTATCATACAAAATAGACTGTATTCCTTATTTTGCATTGAGAGATTCCTAATTTTTGCTGTGAAAGGTTGGCACGTATTGCATTCTCATGCACATACACTATGAATATGACGGACAAAGAAAGAGGACAAACTATACAGTTCCTCATTCTACCCTCAACAATTGCTGTGGTAGACAAAGGAACATCCCTTCACTGCTATTATGTAAAAATGTGTAGAACAGGTGTCAGTCACATGCATATTCACCTGTTCAACACATTTTTACATAATAGCAGTGAAGGGATGTTCCTTTGTCTACCACAGCAATTGTTGAGGGTAGAATGAGGAACTGTATATTTTGTCCTCTTTATTTGTCTTTCATGTTCATAGTGATATAACCAATTGATTAGTGTCATGTACGGTAACAGCTTCTAAACAAAAAATTAGCAATGTGTTGTGACAAGATTTGACTGTAATTATTTGGTGTTCTACTTTCAGTGACTTCAATGCTGTGATTGACAACCTAGCACTTCAAGTAACCAAAGAAGTGAATGAGTGCTTGAAAACTCATGGATTTCCGGAGTTTGATGAGCTGAGGATAGAAGCATTTAAGAGTCAGATTAGATCACTAGCTCTCAAAGATAACCACATACACAGTATTCTAGGTGAGTTTTGGAGTTGTGAAAGAATGCTTGAAAACTCATGGATTTCCAGAGTTTGATGAGCTGAGGATGGAAGCATTTATTTTTTTATTTGATTTTATTTCTGCATTTTTTCCAAATATAATATAACTGAATAACAAAGAACATATAAATGTAAGGTATAATACAACATAAACAAACAATAATTTCTTCATGTCAAAATGTTTTTTTACATAATATATGTACATATAATAACGAAACTGAATATTTCCATAACATATTATCATAAATTAAAATTATTATCCGAACTATTCTGTTGGAAAAGTGCAGGAGACCGCAATCATAAGCAAAGCTTGACAAGGATGACGGCCTCAAAAAAAAAAAAAAAAAAAAAAATCTTTTAAAAAGGTAAAAACTTAAAATGAAAAAGTGTTTAAACGATCTTTGTGTATGAGTTGGTGAGTGTGTTGTGCAAGTGTATATATATATATATATATATATATATATATATATTGTATTTGTGTGTGTGTGTGCATGTGCACGCGAGCATGTGTGTTTGTGTTTGTAACGAATAGTGGAAGTGCACGTAGCTCTGTGTGGTATAGTGGAGTGGAAACAAATATAGCCTTTACAATAAAGGAAACCAAGAATGATCATGTTATCTCAAGAACCAATTGATGGATTACCGCCAAACTTGGGTCATGTATGTATCTTGCAGAGCCAATGAACTGATTAGATTTTGAGGTCAAAGGTCACAGGGCTCATTATGTGTGCAAAAATAGCTTGTGATTACACTATCAAAGATATCTTGACATATTCTATCCTATATGTTATTAATTGCAATAGATTAATTGAAATGTTTAACTTGTCCATGTTTCCCCTTCATACATTTAAATGCTCTGATCTGGGCTATGGAAGAGCTGTCAAGTTAAGGCAATCATCAGATATACTAACATTTAGGAAAAGTGCTTACCGGTATTAGACTGTGCCTGATTTGTGCTCAGCCTAAGGATTGTTTTTTTTTACTCTTTATAAGATGTAATTTCTCGCTTGATTCTTAGGATGTTATTGTGTAAAATTGTCGCATTTTGTAATGAAATACTTTCTATTTCTCATCAACAGATTTGAGACTCAGGGGATTCCTTGTATCCGCCATTGCAGCTCCCTCTAAGTTTGACCCTTCCGCCAACATTCCACCCGGCTTGACCACCATGCAGAGTCAGGTGGTCGAAACGGCCAAAGCCTTCGTCCGACTGGTCGTCCACAACCGAGCCGTCTTTGGACCCTTCTACGCTGAGATACTCACAAAGATGGTCAAGCCTCTGGTCACAGAGTAAGAGGACATGGGGGAAACGGAAAGGTGAAAGTTAGAAGGAGGAAGATATGATGAAAGAAAAAGAAAAGGAAAGTTAAACAAGCTTGCCCTTATAAAAATAGAGTATAAATAGAACAGCAAATGACTTGAGAAGGTAGATCCTTGGACCATTTTGTTGTTGAATAATGTCTCAGGTCATGCAGCCGGAGTAGGGAACATGAAGAAGGAAAGATTGGAGGGAGGGTGAAAGAGAGGAAGACTGACTGTTGAGGAAGAGTTCATGAAAGACAAGGAAATTAAAATTGTAAAGGTATCCCCCTGTAAACTGGTAAAGAGGACAGCATTAGAATACTTCAGGCCATTCTGTGCCGGATTAATTTCTGAAATGGTATAGTCTCCAAGTGATGGATCTTCCTCTTATCGAGTCGCTACCCAAGTCCCGTCCAGTGCTCCACGCAGGCTCTGGCACGGCAATTCACGGCTTCCAGGTTGTCTTAGGTGCATGGCTCTGGCAGGAGTGGACAGACTAGCAGGTGTTCCATTGTCTGTTCCTGGCCGCATTCACGTGCTGTTTGTTCGTCTCCGAAACCCCACCTCTGCATTAGGACTCTGCATCGTAGCCGTTGAGGCTCAGCCAAGAAGGCCAAGTCTCGCTGGAGCCAGATGTGAGGGATTCCTTCCAGCTGAGCGAGAGTTTATGTAGAGTGGTCTGGAGGTGGTTAGACCACAAAGTCTTCCTTTGGTTGTGAGGGCTGGTATTAAGGGGCTCTCCGGTATCCAGGAAGCTGTGTCTGGATTTGAGTCGCTTGCCCACTGGCTGTTGTTGGAAAAGTAGGCCTGTCTTCATCATCTCGAAATTGCCAAATAGCCGGCTATTTCTGATTTGGGAAATAATCCCGAAGTTACAAATTGCGTCTTCATCAGCTCGAGATTTGACCTTGAAACTTGAAACTCGAGGTTGACAAATTAGGTCGAGATATTTTGCTCAGTGTTCGCGCATAGTGCGAGTCTTCGGGCTGGTGAAGATGCACCGGACAAATAGCGGGATATTTTGCAAACTGACCCAAGATATCTTGGGATGATTATTTGGACCAAATATCCTGCTAATTGCAACTTCTGGCTTATGAAGACGCAAATGAACTGGATAATTTGCGATCGGGATAGTTCAAATAGCGGGATATTTGGCAATCTCGAGATGATGAAGACAGGCCTACTGAGTGGGCGGAGTGGAGTGGAGTGGATTGTTTTCTAGTTTGTGATGGCTTAAAGGACAGGAGAGGAGAAATGAGGGATGAAGGGGGAAAGGGTAAGATTTGGTGAGGAAGAGAAATAGAGAAAGGAATAGCATTTTTATTCCCAAAACAGTAGATATGCTTTGAGTCTAGGGAAATTTCTTGAGATAGAAGATGATGAAATTGTTTGTGTTTTGTGAGATCACTGCTAACATGTTGATAATCGAACATATTGGCTCGAATTCACAAAGGAGGTTTGTTGACAAACCTTGGTTTTCGTGCGTCATATGACGCGTTTTGACGCGTTTTTACACACCATGTTTGTAAAAACGCGTAAAAACGTGTCATATGACGTACAAAAACCAAGGTTTGTCGACCAACCTCCTTTGTGAATTCGGGCCTCAATGTAGGCAAAGCATTATGATGTTGAATATTGATATGTTTATGTAAATGCAAATCCAATACAAGGAGAATATTTAAAGGGATAGTTCAGTTCTGTTGCAGAGGACGCTACACAAAATAATTTTTGTGTGAGATAATGAAAAACTGAGTGTCAAATTTGAAAGAACATACAATTTAAATGTCAATATCATCTTTGTTTGATCAAAATCAGTTCAGAGACGGCTGAAATATCCATATATAATGATTTGTAATATTTGTGTACCACAACAAATATTCCTAAATTTGAAAAAGCCGTTGGAAAAACGAAATCGCTTTTTTTCGTTGTATTTCAGCCAATGTTGATGTTGGCTTTTTTGTAGGCTTTTTCGTGTTGGTTATATTAAGCCCAACCAGCCGGCCCATGTATTGTTATTATTAATTAATTCATTAATTAACAGTCACCGTATTTTTTTTTAAAGTGGAGCTGAATTGATATGATCGTATTGGCTAAATTTCACACATTTTGGGGTCTAAAATTACCTTCATAGCAATTTTAGGTCTTCAAAGGGCACTAGAAATTTCATAGATAAAATAAGAGCAATAACCGTGCACTTTGAAGGCAATTGCGGTCTGAAAACAGAACTCAACTATCCCTTTAATTGTACATTTAAAGAGAGACAATATTATAGAAGTATGACGATGAAGGAAAGTTAATAGTGATGAATGCTGAAACACAATGAAGGGAAGCACAACCAAAGAAAATAAAGGAAGGAATCTAACATTGATAACAACAGAAAATGGCATGATACAGAGATGATATCAATACTCTTACATTACATATATGAGAAAATTGTTCCACATGTGTTTGTTGATATGCATGAACGTTAAAGATGAACTTGAGTTCTGGTAAAAAAAGAAAATGAATTCTCACAGAATCAAACGAAACTTACACTGAATTTTCAAGAGTACAAATAAATGTCATTTGCCAAACAATTTTGGTAGAAAATGTATACTGGCTGAGTAATGAGCATAGAAAGATAAGAAAATCTTGGTTCGTAGCCCCGACACCATTTGTGTAGTCCCATATACATCTTTCTGTGTACAGTGCTTGTTACTTTACCAAGACTGGGTCAAATTTATTATGATTTTGATGACTCCAGAACCTTGCAGTACACACCAATACTGACATGCTACATGATCAACTTTTTCTGATCCATTCCACACCTTTTCTTCCAAAAGGTAATCGCATTACCAGAACTCAACTTTATCTTTAACTTATGCGTATAGAGGGACTTTGCAGTGCATTGCTATAGAAAGGTGAAAAATATTGTGCCAAATATATTGCCATTGCCATCTCAAAACATAAGTGATACAGTTAACAGCTAAATTATTCATGCCTTACCAAGTTTTGTAACGTTTGAGGTACGTGATGAATCGATTTGTCTCGATTTATGACTCTTGAGAATGTGATATACCAAAGCTTACGAGTAAAAGTATTCAACAAAGGCCCTACTAATTCAACCAGTCCAGCTTCTATTCTTGAGTTACTAAAAGCACCCCAAAAACATGAAATTTACAAAAGGTATAAATAATTAAGTTGTTAACTATAAAGATATGGAATGGATTATCTTGTGAGGAATATTTATCAGACCGACTGCAAGCGCCTGATGTATTAAAATCTATTGAAACTTAATTCTAGATTTGTGTGAATCTCTTGCACACAAAATATGATTCACTGCCTATGCAATACCTTTGAGATTAAATCAAAATTTAGTTTTGGGGGAAGAGTGAGATTTTGTTGATAAACATGACTGGCGTAGTGAATCTTTTTGTGACAGTTGAACCTATTCTTCATTTTATTGGGATAACAATGTCCCTAATTATGATTTTGAGAACATGGAAGTCTGTTACATAATCTTAGCTTACAAGAGAAATGTTTCATATCTTTCCACCGTTTAAAGTTTTATGAAAGAGTAGACATTGACTTATTTTTAGGGATAACAATTTACTTAATTCTGATTTTAAGAATATATATAGAAAATGTTTCATAATCTCAGCTTACAAAAGAAAAGTTCCATATATATTTTCACCATTTAAAGTTTGATGAAAAAGTAGACATTTACTTTTTTTTTAGGGATATCGATTATGATTTTGTGAACATGGAAGTCTGTTACATAATCTCAGCTTACAAAAGAAATGTTCCATATATATTTACACCATTTAAAATTTTATGAAAGAGAAGACATTGATATTTTAATAAGTTTTAAAGGTTATGAACAAAATTTTAAAATTCAGAGTCAGGAAAGGAAAGAGGGGGAATAATTTAGAGAAAGCTTCTTTTTGCAAATTTCTTAATTCTAATTTATGTAAGTGAGTTTTTTTACCATGAATGAATTGCTTATTTTTGCCATGAAATATATATTGCAACAATGGATTGAAAAGAAAATATTTATATTTTTTTTCAATATATTTATTTTTTGGAGAATTTGAAGGAGAGCATTAGACGATACATTTATTTTGGCAAATTGCAAACTTCCTAATTCTAATTCATGCAAGTAATTTTCTTTTCCAACTATGAATGAATTGCGTATTTTTGACATGAAATATCTATGGCAGCAATTGACTTTAAACAAAAGGACTTATATTTGTTTTCAATATTTATTGTTTGGAGAATTTGAAGGAGAGAGCATTACACAATACAATAATTTTGGTGAATTGCAAATTTTCATAATTCCAATTTATGCAATGAGTTTTTTTATTTTATCTGTGAATGAATTGCATAATTTTGCCATGAAATATTGATTGATTTTTTTTTAATGAGTTATATTTGTTTTCAATGTATTTATTGTTCAGAGAATTTGAAGAAGAGCTTAAGATAGTACATTTATGTTATGCATTAGGATTTTTATGATTGATATTAATAATTTTGGAATGTTATGAACTATTAAATTTAGCAGAATAGTTTGATGAGAAGATTTGTGAATCATTGTTTTTAGTCTTAACATTTTTATTAATGTCAATTTTACTTCAGGCTTCATATTGTAATAGAGGCATTATTTTCAGAATTAATTGTTCTGAGTTACTCTTTAAAGACTTTTAAAGTGCATTTCATATTTTTGTTTAAGAAGGATGACTGTCATGACATTTCCAAGATTTCTAATGACATAGCATCAATCAGCTACTGTTAAATTTCCCCTATTTCTCTTGTATTTTAATGAAATATGTGTACATGTACCGATACAACACAACAAGTTTTCTCTAATTTTATAATAATTATGATAATTAGATTAGATCAATATATATAGCGCAGCTACTATCCAAATGTACAGACAAAGAATTTTAAAAAAGCTATTCCAAAGCTCCTAAAAACAAGTGTGTCTTCAACAAAACTCTCAAAAAATTGCAACAATCAAGCTTGCGTATATTGGAAATATGTTATCAGGATGTTTTCATATGTTTTAAGAAGTATGAACTTGTGATAGGCGAGGTTTTGAATATTTCTCACAATGATATCTGTGTTTTGGTGTGAAAATGCATGTAGCTGTCCGAGAAACCGGCTAGAAATACCATTTGTGCTCATACTGTTGTAGAGTTGAGGTGTGTGTATTAAAGTGTGATTTGTATTTATTCAGTGTGTGCTGTCGAGTCTCTTTTTATTTTAAGCT